CCCAAGAGGGATCAGGCCAGAGGCTTTTGTCTTTGCTGGCGCCAGGAAAGAAGACGTAGCAGTCCCCTTTCCTGCCCTCACGTTAAGGGAATTGGAGTGGAGGCATCTCAGTAAACAGCTGAGGGAGGAGGGGTTGGGCGAGGCAGGTGGGGCTTTGGTTTCCTGAGCTCCTGATTCTGCAGCCCTCTCCTTACGTGGAAAGGGACGGTCTCTCTTTGCAGGGGTCAGGGAAGGGCCCTGCAGTAGGTAGCCTCAGAGCAGGTTCCCCTCTCTAGGAAGATGAAGAAGGGACCCCCATTCCTTTTTCCCCCTGGTTCTCTGAGCACCACCTTCAGCCTGTGTCTCGGAGCCAAGAAAAGCTCAGAGAAAACAGTAGGGTGGTCTGGAAAGAGGAGAGATGGGAGTTGAGATATCTGGGTCCTGTTCTCTATTTGGGCCACCGCTAGCTGTGTGACCTTGGCAAGACTTTTACCTCTCTGGACCTCAGTTTCCTCTTCTGCAAAAGCAGACTAGAGCCTGTAGCTGTCATACTCTGGTGTGCTATCAGAATCCCCAGGGAACAGTGTTTAAAATTCAGGTTCCTGCGCCCCAGCCCTAGAGCTTTTGGTTGGGAGAGTATATTTCTGACACCACCCACCCACCAACCCTAGGGCTCTGAAAGGGTGTGCGCACCAAGCTTAGAGGAAGGCTGGACTAGATGATCTCAAAGGCCTACTCTGGGTCCTGCTCTGATCTTCTCTGATTATAAAAGGGGGAGAGAAGAGGGCACTGGGCTTGGGGAAGAGCACTGCCTGGGCCCTGGTGGGAAGTCAGGGTAAGTAGGGAGGCTGTCAGCTTACAGCCTGAAGGGCTGGTCTTGGGGCTCATAGATTCCCTGGAGGTGGGAAGCAATCCCTGCCTGAGGTCAGCCATGGAAGGCCAGGTAGGGAGATGCAGAGGCAGAGCCCAGGAGTCCTGACTTCCAGCCCTGCGGGGTCTGAGGGTCCAAGCTTGGCCTTTGGCATGCTTCCTGACTTACCAAGTATGAGAGGTGGACCTTCTCACCCCTCTGTGTCTCTATGGTCAGTTGAGCTGAAAGAGACCAGAAGGAGCACCGTGAGGCCAGGAGTAGCCTGCAGTTGCTCCACGAAGGTGGACTGGCCTCCTGCACCTTCAAGCAGGGGCTTTCTAGAGGGTAGCAGGCAGTGAGCAGAAAGGCTCCTTCTAGCTCAGCTCCTTGGCAATGACCAGGCCTTTTGAGATTAGTACATGGAAATTCCCTCTTGTGGGCCAGAAATGGGCTGGGGAAGTAAAATTCTGTGTGCTCAAGTCCTCGCTTCTTAAACCTCAGTGTGCATATAGGGCCCAAGGAAATGTTATTAAAATGCAGATTCTAATTCAGTAGGTTGGCCTTGGGGCCTGAGAATCTGCATTACTAACAGGCTACCAGGGGGTGTCACTGCTGTTAGCAGGGGACCACAACTTGAGAGGCAAAATGCTAAGAGTTTCTGAGGTTGTGATGAGGAATGCTCCTCTATGCTCCTCCCTGACTCCTTTGCTGGGATTTAGGGACATGGGCAAAGCTGACATTTCTTCCTGGGGCGGCACAGGGAGGAGTTGGGAGGCAGGCCCAAGATGTCCACGCGGCCACCTGCACAGGGCCAACATTGCCAATCTGCAAAGTGCTTTCCCAAATATCGTCCTGGCTCCACTACTTCCTAGCTATGCAGACGCAGAGCAAGCCACTTAACCACTTTGTACCTCAGTTTCTCCCCCTGTATAATGGGAATATTTGTAATAAGTAGTTCCTAACTCCACAGTATTGAGGAAGTTTAAGGAGATAAAAGCAACATAAGCCACACAACAGTGCCTGGAACATGGTAGTTCTTATTACTCTTACTTCAGTTATTATCTGTGCTGCCCAACACAGGAGCCACAAGCCACATATGGTCACTGAGCACTGGAAATGTGACTACTCCAAATTACACTGGTTTCAAAGACTCAGTATGAAAAAATGAATGTAGAATATATGTCATTAATATTTTTATGCTGTTTCCATGTTGAAATGATCATATTTCGGTTATACTGTGTTAAATAAAGTATATGATTAAAATTAACCTCACTAGTCTCTTTTAAATTTTTTTCACGTGACTATTAGAGAATTGTAAATAACACATGTGGCTTGTATTCTATTTCTGTTGGACATATATCAGTGATCTGAAGAAGCCAAGGCTCAGGGAAGTTAGATGATTTCCCCGAGGTCACACAGCTACAAAGGTGGCAGATCTGGGATTTGAAGCCAAACCTCAAAAGAAGCTGAGCACCTCTGGAGACCCAGTGGCCACAATGTATGTCACGCTCAAGTTCAAGTGCTCGGTCCAGCCTTCTCCCTTATGGTCAGTCCTCAAACAAGGCAAAATGCTAAGAGGAGCTAGACCTGCAGAGAATGAGGGTGGATTCTCTGGGATCGATAGGGAGAGAAGTGACTGATGAGTTGGGATGAGCAAGCCGAGAGCCCCATTCTCCCACTCCCCCATTGGAATGATTTCTTTCCTAATGTTGATGGCCCTGCGGTTCCCTCAGAAGGGAGGGGCAGCACTCCTGCTGCCCGCATCTCAGACAGAAGCACTGAGCAGCAAGGTTCCTCCGAGGTGGTGGGGAGGACTGCAGGTCTCAGGGAGGTCCTGGGCTGGAAGCCTCCCCCCCACTCCCATCCGCCTTTGCTCACCTTCCTTCCTCCACTGGGCTATGCACCTGCCGACGACGGCCGCCAGGCCTGCGGCCAGCAGCAGGATCAGCAGCACTAGGACCGGAGCCAACATGCGAACCGTTGAGGGGGACACCCTGCAGAAGGTGCCCAATGGCTGTCACCAGATATCAGCAGCATGCTGTGTACCACGACATTCTTATTCTGAGTCCCAGCCATGCCCCTTGTCTTTCCCAAGGAGATCAGAGGGCACCAGGAACCAAACATCTAGTAAGTCCCAAAGGAAAGGACCCCAGCCCCCACTGCCCATCCCAGGAGACCCTTTCAGCTGGGTCTGCACTTGCCAGCAGTTACTGGATGTCAGGAACTGAATGCAGTCATGTATGAACCCCCAAGAACCAATCCTTCAGGCTAGGACTCCAGTTGGGTAGTAAAAAAGTTTTTTTGTTCCCTATTTTCATGCTTGGCACAGGGCTCAGTGCAAAGTGTGCAGGCAAAAGCTACTGAACTGAGTGGCTGTCCCCAAGGTTGGAGCAAGGGGGGGGACCCTTCACCTTGGGTGGGTCTGCATGTCCAGGGCAACAGGGCTGCTAGCCCCTGTAGGGCAGGTCCTTCCCTGCTCAAGGGCCCTGCTAAGCAGGGGATAGGTGCTGAATCTGCCCTCACTGCCTCAAGCTGTGGCCACGAGAAGAGGCTGTTAACCTGGAGGAAGGAGTATTAGGCTCTTATTTGCTCAAAGGCCCCTTCCAGTTTGGTGATGGCCTGAAAGGTGACCTCGGTCACCTGGAGCTCACCTGGACTTGAAGCTTCTGCTTCTTGGACTGGTGTCTTCTGCTGAGGTGGAGTCCAGGAGTGTCGGTGGGTGGGAGGTCCCTGCATGAGGAGAGGTTGCTTTGTGAGGAGAGGTCTCTTCATTTGGAGAGGTCACTGTGTGAGGAGAGGTCCCTGAATACGGAGAGGTTCTTGTGTATAGAGAGGTTCTTGCGGGCTTGGGCGGGGACGTCCCTGTGAATGGAGAGGCCTTGGCCTCTGTCTTCCCCTGCTCGGCTGTGGTGACTGTTGGGTGGACACCAGAAGAAGCTACAAGTCCAAAAGCAATGCCTCAGCACCTTCGCTGGCCCCGGAATCCCATCCCCAGACCTCTGAGCCTTGACCCCTGACGCCCCCCCCCGGGCCAGTTTTGCAGGACATCCTAGGTAAAGGATGGCCCAGGAAGCAAACAGAGGCCTGGATGAAGCCAGTTAGCAAGCAGGCCGTATCTCAGGATGCCCCACACCCGTGCAGTTTCCAGCCCTTTTTGTGCCCACAGCCTGTTCTCTGAGTAGGTGCACCTGCCACCCCCCCTCCATGACCCATTGCAGTGACCACTCGGTAGATGCCTTCCTGCCCTCTCCCTAAGTCCTGGCCAATTGTCACCTCGGCCCTCACCTGAAAGTCCTCATGTCACCATCACATGCCCACCCCTATCGCCTCGGTCTCAGTAGGCCTTGACCTCCTTCAATAGCCACGGGGTCAACAGGGCAGGGTGTAGGGACAGGCCCAGAGGTCAGAGCAAAAGGCCCAGCATCTCCTGCTCACCCCTCAGACCCCTGGTTGAACACACAGAAGCTTGGACTGAAGGCTGTCTACTTCCTGGCTCTGCTGCTTCCTGTGTGACCTTGAGCGAGTGGCCTAACCCTGCTGAGCCTCCCATTCCTTAGCTGACAACCCAGCTCCCAAGATGAGGGACCACAAAGGACAGTGTCTGACACCGGGCAGGCACCTGCTGGTTGTTTCTCTACAAAGAGGCGGAAGAGGGGCAGAAAAACCATTCACTCACTCAATTCTGGGGGCTGAGTTTGCCAAGCTTTTGCCTTGGGCTGGAGGCTTGTAGCAAGAGGCTGGAAGGAGTGGGTGGGGGATGGGCAGCAGGGACCTAGAGGAAAGGAAAGTCTGGTCTCAGGGAGGCAGGGGTCACTACTCTGAGCAGACTTCCTGCCTTGGGAGCAGCCAGCAGCTTTCCCACCCCCATCTCCACTCGAGCTTCGCCACCTTTTCCCCTCAGCCACTCAGGAGCCATGGGTGGTAGATTCCAGCAGATTGCTGGCCTCACCCCCTGCAGTCCCCTTGGCCTCCCACTTAGCTCAGACCTTCAGCTTCCCTTGTCCCCCACTGCCCACTGGCCTCTTTCCACGCTGCCCTTCACACTGCTGCCAGTTTTGTCTCTAAAATATATATTGGACCCCATCACTTTCTGTTTAGAACAGTCAATGGCTCCCCATTGCCTATAAGCTAAAATTCAAACTTTCTCTCATGCCTTTGAAGGCCTTTTAAATTCAGACTTCAACCCACTTTGCTGACTTCACCTCTTCCACATCCCATGAGCCAGCCATACAGAGTTGCCCTCTAGTCCCATTTCAGCTAGCCTCCTGCCTTCCTCCACACCTTCGACATGCTGTTCCTCCGTGTGCCATGTCTTTCCTTTCCATCCCTACTGAACATACCAAGCACTGGCTCAAAAGTCAACTCCTCCACAACACCTTCCTTCGAAGGAGCAAGGAAGTTTTTCCTAGGTCAGTTTTTCTCCAATTTTTCTGAGTAAATGACCAAATCTTCTGCAGATAAAGAGTATTTTTATTTTCCTTTCCAATATTTATACTTCTTAATCTTGTCCTGTTTCATTGCCTATAGTCTCCAGTCAATGATGAATAAAAGCAACGATGGTGGGCACCCTTGTCTTGCTCTGACTTTCCTAGAAATTCTTCTAATGCTTCCCCATACTCTATGGTGTGCTGAGACGCTCACACAGGCTTGTGAGAGCTAACATTTAGCTTTTTGGAAAATTTGTGAGTCAGTTGTTAAACTGTTGGTGGCTGGAAATTGGCCATGGCAGGGGCGTTTACACCACAGAAATGGGCAAACACTACAAGTTGGAGCTTCCCCAGCCAGTTGTTAAACATTCACCGGCACACCACTGCCATTAGCCTTCTTTATTTGCAATATCCCAACTGTCATCAGAGAGAGGCCGACAGAGTAATACAAGAGGATAATATAATGATGCATATATTATACACAAATAAATATAAATGAGGGTAAGAGGAAAACAGGAGAGCCTCAAATATAGGTAAAATTGACCATCATCAGGTGAAAACGGGGTCTGAATAATAACAGGAAGACATCAGAGAATCTTGTAAATAGCTGAGAACAAGTTTAAAGTGGTTTTGATGCTCCTGTTATTTGATAAGTTTATCTTTGTTTCCCTGAATTAAAATAAAGGCCCATGGGTGATGGGGATCTGGCAGTGGGGAGGGGCCTGGGGTGGGATGGGTCCCAGTTCTTGGGCCAGGAGAGGGAAAGAGCAGATGCCAAAGCCAGAAATGACCGGCTTTTGAATCCTGGCTCCACCACTTCCAGCTATGAGACCTTGGGCAAATCATTTTCTCTCTCGGAGCCTCACCCCCCCCATGTGTGAAATGGGATACAAGACCTATGTCACCCTTACTGACACTCCAGCTGGGGCTGTGCACCCCCTGGGCCCTCTCTGGCTTTTTTCTCCTTGGCTCAGCAGGTCCAGGTGGGATTCTGGGTGCCCAGAGAGATGCTCCATCCCCAGCCAGAGCCCCATGGCTCCAGCCCCAGCCCCAGTCCCCTAATTTCTCTGGGCTCAACAAGCCCTCTGAGGCTGGTTCCCATGCACTCCTCGCACCTGACTTCTAGATCTGGGGAAGGGGCAGTGAGGAGGAAGAGCCGAAGCTACAAACAGGTGAGGCCAGCGTGGCCATGGCGTAGGTCCGGGATGCAGTGACTGTGGGCCCAGCCTGAGGGATCCTCTGGAATCTCTCTGACTCCAGGGAGGGAGGGAATCTTTTTTATTCTGTGGGATGTCCATTTTCCCCATGACAATCTCTCTCCCACATCTGGACAGAGAGGAAAGGCACTGAGCCTGTAGTCAGACAGACCTGGGCTTCATGCTGCTCTGCCACCTACTAGTGGTGCGACCTTGGGCAGCAAGAGTGAAGGACAGCTGAGCCTCAGGCAACATCGGTGCCCCAAACGCTGCTGCATATTTGACCTGTGTGATCTCACTGAGTCCTTGAGATACCCCCCACATGTGGCGTTATGCCCTTGTGTTGGGGGGACTGGGTCCACTACTGACCACATACCCTCCCTTCCCTCTTCCCCTCTGCATCTCCTGTCCCTCAGCCAGGGCAGGAGAGACATTTGTTACCTGGAAGGACTAGCAGAGAGACCAGGAAAATCTGATCAAAGCCCAGTTTGTTGATGCCACACCAGTACTCTCCCGAGTCCTGCAGGGTGAGCTCCCTCAGGGTCACGTTGAGCATGAGCTTCTGGGGACTGTCTTGGATGGACACCCTGCCCTCTCTCCTCTCCTGGCCGTCTTCTCTGGCGTAGATAATGTCAGAGCAGCGGGAGATGAGGGTCCTGCTCTTCCTGCACCAATATTTCTGGTTCATCTTCAGCTTCTCGTCGTATGTGCACTGTAGGGACACAGTGTCACCTTCGAATCCTCTGATCTTATTCGGGCCCACCAGGGCTCCATAACCTGAAACTACAGCAGAGGAGGAGGTCAGAATTCCCTGGATTCAAGTACCAGGGTCAAGACCAGAGATTTTTCTCAATCACCCTTTTCTGGGGGCAGCCTTGTCAGAGCTGGCACTCCCTGCTCCCAGCAGAAGACCTTGGGACAGGGCTGTTGAAATATATATATTTCTATATAATTGTTTCCCTAAACCTGGCATATTAAAGGGTTGCGGGTGGGGAAGCTCTAGCTTCAGACAGCTTGGAGTTTGAATCCCAGCACTGCCACTTAGTAGCTGTGTGACCTTGGGAAGTCGCTTGACTTCTCTGGGCCTCTGAGTTTCTCATCTATAGCTGATGAGAATGTCTTAATTAATTTTTTTCTGTTGAAAATAATTATTTTATGTTGATAGACATAATAACCTAAGGGTGAACATTTGTTTTATCCACAAAATCCCCTTTCTGTTTGAAGAGGTCCGTGGAAAACCAGCCTCATGGCTTGTTGCAATGAGCTGCTCCAGCTGGAGTCTGGAGTGGCACAGTCGCAGCTGAGACTCAGGGAGTTCTGTTGCTTCTGGAGAGTCCCCCACACCACACAGGGCAGCGCACAGCGAGGAACTGGCTGTGGATGGCCACCTTTTGGGGGTAGCTGACCTCCTGCTAAAATGGGATAAGGTTGTGGGGCTCCTCTCCTCATATGGACTTTCAGAGTCTGCCTGGGTGTCTAACAAGAGGTCATGTTAATAACTGGAGACTCAGATTTAAAGATGGGGCTCCAAAATAATAACACATGAAAAGGCAGGATACAAAAGTATACATACTGAATTATCTGGGTTGGTTTTTTTTTTTAAAGAAAAAAATACTTTTTTTTTTTTTTAATCCTCACCTGAGAGTATTTTTTCCATTGCTTTTTCAGAGAGAGAGTGGAGGGGAGAGAGAGAGAGAAACATTGATGTGAGAGACACACTGATTGGTTGCCTCCCGCACAAGCCCTGACAGGGGCTGAGGGTTGAGCCTGCAACTGAGGTATGTGCGCTTGGCCAGAATCGAACCCAGGACCCCTCAGTCTGAGGGCCAACCCTCTAACCACTGAGCCAAATTGGCTAGGGCAGAAAAAGCAACATATTAACATAGGTTATCTCTGTCAGTGACAGGTTTTCTTCTGTACGATATGCACTTTGCAATTTATTTTAAAAAGTTATTTTATTTTTAAATTACAATTTACATTCGATATTATTTTGTATTAGTTTCATATGTCCAGCATGGTAATTAAACAATCATATACTTTACCAAGTGTTACGCCTGCTATTTCCAGCACCCACCTGGCACCACACACAGTTATTACAATATTATTGACTATATTTCCTATGCTGTGCTTTACATCCCTGTGACTATTTTGTATCTACCAACTTGTACTTCTTAATCCCTTCCCCCTTTTCACCCAGCCCCCCACCCACTTCCCCTTGGCAACCATCAGTCTGTTCTCTGTATCTAGGAGTCTGTTTCAATTTTGTTTCTTCATTTATTTTGTTCTTTAGATTCCGCATATAAGTGAAATCATATGGTGTTTGTCTTTCTCTGTCTGACTTATTTCACTTAGCATAATACCCTTTAGGTCCATCCATGCTGTCCCGAATGAGAAGATTTCATTCTCATTTAATTTAAGATGCTATCCTTTGTGAGATACACTATAACTTTACATACTACTAAGAAAAATATTGTCAATTGAACAATTGGCATCATGTATAAGGTGCATCCTGATTTTTTATGTTAAAGGTTAAAAAAAAGCAGGTCTGTGCATTGATGAAACAGGATAATCCTTTACCTCTCGGGTTGGTGTGAGTGGTATTAGCAGAAGGTGAAGACATATTTGCGGAGTTTAAGGTGGCAGCCATATAGGGGATGTCTTATCTGCCTCCAGGCCCCGAGCAGGAAAACGATGAGAGAGGTAAAGCTTCTCTCACAGCCACCCAGAGGCTGGAACCCCTAGCCTGGGACAGCACCTGCCTCTGGGCTCCAGAACCAGCAAGTGCTGGGCCCTCTGAGGGCTGAGGCGGCTGAGGACCGGCTGGAAGGCTCACAGCCACAGGCACAGCGGGAAAGGAAAGGCAGGGTCAGGGGGTCTTCTCTCCCAGACCCAACGAGCGAGCTTGGGCCTAGCCCGACGCCCCTCGGCTACGCCCTCCGCCCATCTCACCTGGGAGCACAAGGCAGCCCCACAGCAGCACGAGGGGCCTCATGGTGGGCGCTGGACACGCAGGAGCACAGGCCGGGCGCTGGGAGCCCCTCTCGGGGACATATGAGCTTCCACTTCCTCCAGACGAGCGAGGTCAAAACAAGGAAGGGCGGGGAGGGGCCCCGTGGGTCACCCCTGGGCGCCCAGCCCAGGGAGCCGCCTCTGCCATGCCCTTAACTTACCTCCCTCCGGCGTAAAAAAACAAAAGCCAACCTCTCCCCCTAAACCCACGTGAGCGCCTCTCCCGAACCCGTGCCCCTTCCAGGGAGTCTTAACCTTGCCCACGGCCATACACCCAAGGGGGCCTGTGTGTACAATTCAGGGAGTCCAGGAATTTGGATGGGAAAAATTACATGTTGACTTGCACTAACCTTTAAATAGTATGTGTGTCAGCACATGCTTCTGTGTGTTAGCAGAACCTGTGACTTTGTCACCAATAAAAATCACAGACACTAGCACATCAAACCACCGATAGTTCAAAATGCCGTGTATGCTTCTCACTGGTGGTGACTCTTTAGTTATTAGGCTACTTAAAAGCGCTAAAAAAGCAGCACATTTATTCCTATCCTACACACATATGTTTTGATAACCACTTCAATATTATTGATTTTCTTCTAAGCATATGTATTTTATTTTGTATACTTAAAAGACCATTATTCTGCGAGGGGGCCCATAAGCTTCACCAGACTGCCAAGAGGTCAACGGTAGAGGTCAGAGCCCCTGCGGCAGTGCCCACGCCTCCCTCGTCGCCTCCCGGGGGGCGCAGTACGGCCTTTGGCCAGCGGGGGGCGGTGCAGGCAGGGTGAGGGGAGCTTCGGCGGGGCTGAGCGGGAGCCCTCTGCAGGCCGCGCCCGCCTTGGCGTTGATAAAAAAGGCGAATGAGCGGTTTCCCACCGTGGAACTGAACCCTCCTTGAAAGGAGCAAAAGGAACACGGGCACTAGAGGGAGCGCTGACACATCGTTTTCCAAAATAGCTTTGTCGGATTTTTATTTTTTTGTATTGCAAAGTTCATACAGGTTGTAAGAGAAATTTTACACAATACAGACATGCTCTAAAAAAAAAAAGAAAGAAAGAAAGAAAGAAGAACGGGAATGTTTTCTGTAATTTCCCCTTCTCCCTCAGAAAACCACTGTTTATTACATTTTGGCATATATACTTCCTTATAGACAGTTGGAGTTTTATCCACTCGGCGGGCTAATATTTGAAGCAATAACTCAGTGGTTCTGGGAGGGGAGTGTGTGTGTGTGTGTGTGTGTGTGTGTGTGTGTGATATTCTGGTGATGTGATGTGATCACGTTTCACAGTGATCGGGGCCCTGCTGGGCAGGCACAGTTCACATCAGTGAAAACCCTGCAAGGATGATCCCAGGCTAGGATCCCGCTCCCATTACACGTATAGACCGCAAAAGGTAATTGGGTTTTGCAGTTTTAAAAACACAGATGAAAATAATATTTATTCTAGCATTTGATAGTATGTCTCTGTTCTTTAATTTCTGTTTTGTCCTTATACAGAATAATTTCTGATCTTACTACTTATCTTAAATCCTAACTTATTTATTATAGACAGCGACAAGCATCTGGCACTTTCATGTTTTCTAGTGTCATGGGGCCTGTGCATTGACACTTTGAAATATGTGTTATTTGGTGACAAGTTGTTTTCCTTTTCTTTTCCCCCTTCTGCTACAGCCAAGGCATTATACTGTGATTTTTTTTTTTTAAAGTAAGTGTGAGAAGGCATATTATTTATTATTGCACTTCAGGAGAGTAAAAGAAGGGTTACTAAAATTTTAAATTTTTGTTGTTGTTAATCCTTACCTGAGGATATTTTCTCCATTGATTTTTAGAGAGAGTGGAAGGGAGGGATGGAGAGAGAAGCATCGATGTGAGACACATCAATTGGTTGCCTCCTGCACTCTCCCCAGCCGGGGCCAGGGATAGGACCTGCAGCCCAGGTACGTGTCCTTGACTGGGAATTGAACCCTTGACCCTTCAGTGTGCAGGTCAACACTCTCACCACTGAGCAACACTGATCAGGGCTCAACTTACATTTTATTGGTGACTCAAAATGAAAGAAGACAGAAGATGTGACACAAGCAGTAATCAAACAACTAATATTCCAAATGTGAAGAAACAAACCACGGTCCCTGGCTGGTAGCTCAGCTGGTTAGAGAGTTGTTCCCATACACCAAGGTTGCAGGTTCGATCCCTGGTCAGGGCACATACAAGAAGCACCCAATGAATGCATAAATAAATAGAACAACAAATCAATGTTTCTCTCTCTTTTCTCTCTTTCCCCTTCCTCTCTCAAATAAAAAAAAAAAAAAGAAACACAGCATGTGCTCTTGAATACATGTGTGATTATAATATTAGGGGTGCTAAAACCTATGCTGCCCTGGCCTGGCTGCGCGAGGCCACCCCTGCCTGGGCTCCTCGCCAGCTTGGCCAACTCCGCCCTGAGTCACCTCCTCTGTCCTGGGGTGCAGCTTTCTTTCCAGGCCTGCAGCTCTAAACCCTCATTCACCCCAACATCTCTCTCTGTGCTTACCTTTCATTCCAACCTCCCCGCCCAAATATCCCCCTGGCTAAAGGACACGTACGTATAAACATTTTAGTAGATAATTCTCAATCATCTTCCAGCAAGTTTGCACCGATGGACACTTCTTCCTGCTGTGTAAACATGTTTGTTGCCTTACATCCTTGACAGCACTCATCGTTTCTATTTCTATTTTTGGTCAATGCTTTTGAGTTTCTAGGTATACCCCGTGTATCACCTGAGCTGCCCCCTTCTAGTATCCATGCCTGTTATTTCTTTTTCTCGTCTGCTCGTATTGGCCAACACATTCAGAGCGATGGTAGATGACTCTGGGCATGGTAGGCACCTCGAGGCTCCATTATTGCATTCACGCACATTGGGGCTTGAAATGTCTTCTTGATCAGCAGATCCTTTATCATCATGAAATGCCCCTTCCCCCTTTATCCCTGATAGTATTTCTCCCCCCCCAATTTCTTTAACAGATATATGGCTATTCAGGTTATCTATTTCTTCTTGAATAAGCTTTGATAATTCTTGTTTTGAAGTCTATTTTGCCCTAAATCAATGTAGTCGCCTCAGCTTTCTTAATTCGTATTTCCATAGTAATTTTTTTTTTAATTCATTTTCTTTTAACAGATCTGTATCTTCATGCTTAAGGTCAGTTTCTTCTAGCGAGCACATAGTGAATTTAAAAAAAAAAAATTCAATCTGACAGTCTCTGCCTTTCATTTGGGGGATTTAGACCATTCATTTTTTATGAAAACAACTTTCTTAAGATATAATTTACACACCATAAAATTCATCCCTTTAAAGTGTACAATTCATTGGTTTTTAGTGTTTTCACAGAGTTGTAAAACCGTCACCATAATCTAATTTTAGAGCATTCTCACCATCTTAAAAAGAAACCTGGTACCCATTGGCGGTCCCTCCCCGCCTCCATCCCCCAAGCTAGGCAGCCGCTAGTCTTTGTGTCTAAACACTTGCGTATTCTGGATTTTCATAGCGATGGGATCATACGATATGCAGTCTGTTGTGACTGATTTTTTTTCACATAACAAAATATTTTGAGGTTCTTCCACATTGAAGCATGTATTAGTACTTTATTTCTTTTTATTACTAAATAATTGTCATTGTATGGTTTCACCCTATTTTATTTATTTATTTATCAGTTGATGGACAACTGGTTTTCCCTCACTTTTTGGTTTTTACAAATAATGCTGCTTGAATATTCTTGTACAAGTTATGTTTTTATTTTCATTCCTCTTGCATATATATTTAGGAGTGGAGTTGCCGGATCCTGTGGTACTTTATGTTTAATCTTTTGTTCACCTTCATTTTTGAAGGGTATTTAAAAAAATTGTGTATGGATATCTTTTCAAGCACCTATGGAGATAATATTAATTTTTCACTTTTTATCCTATTAATAGATTACCTTATGTGGAGTCATAGTAATAAATTTTCAAATATTAAACCATTCAGTTTCCAAATATTAAACCATTTTTAGATTACACTCCACTTGATCACGGTGTGCTATGCTTTGGTGTCCTGGTGGGATTGTCAGCTAACATAGTTTTTAGGATTTTTTTCATAGGTGAGACTGGTTTGTGGGGTTGGTTTTTGTTTGTTTTGTTTTCTATGACAAGTTTTACTATCAATGCTATGTTTACTTTATAAAAAGAATTTTGAAAATTTCCTTTTATTTGTATATTCTAGAACAGCGATTTTCAACCTTTTTCATCTCGTGGCACACATAAACTACTAAAATTCTGCAGCACACCAAAAAATATCTTTTTGGCCAATCTGACAAAAAAATAGGTATGATTCTGATTCATTCACTCCGGGTGGCTATTGTTGTGTTGGCTGTTGTCATTTTTAAAAATCTGACAGTTTAAGGGAAAAGAGGTCAGTGCCTCCGGCTAAATAGTCAGATACTGCATGCTGTAAAAATTCTTGTGGCTCACTGGTTGAAAATCGCTGTTCTAGAAGAGTTAAACATATCTGTTCTTTAAATGTTTACTAGAATTCTCCTGCAGAACTATCTGATGCTTTTCAAGGGAACAATTCTTTGACAATTCTACTCTATTGAAATTAGCCTGTTAATATTTCTGTTTCTCCTGTAGTACTTAGGATAATTTGTATAAGAATAATAAAATGGGTCTCTGGGCCAGGTCAAGGTCTGTGAGTGCAGTGATAGCATCAAGATCACAACACCCCAGGAATCACACAGTATGTATTTTCCATGCCTGCCTTCTTTCATTCAGTATAAAACATTTGATATGTTGCATGGTAGGGATAATCTATTTAATAGTAGTTGGTTTTTATTCACTGATGAGTGAATATACCAGTGTACATATATACCACATTTTATTTATCCACTCTCTTGGTGATGAACATCTGGATTGTCTTCTGTTTTGGGCTACTATGAATAGAGATGCATTGAATATTCTTGTACAGGTGTGTGGACAGATGGTTTTATTTCTCTTGGATAAATACCTAGGAGTGGAATTGCTGGGCCATAGGGTAGATGTATGGTGACACCTGCCTGTGGCTCTAATGTGCATTTCCCCGATCACAAATGATATGGGTAAGCATTTTCTCACATGCTTATTGGCTATTTATACATCTTCTTTTGTGGTGTGTGTTCACATCTTTTGCCAATTATCTGGGTTATGATTATTACTGAGTTACAGGAGTTTTTTTTATTCCAGATACAATTCTTTTGTCAGACATATCTGTTATGAATATTCCCTCTCAATCTTTGGCTCCTTTATTTTCTTGGTAGTGTAGTTTGATAAACAAAAGTTTTAAATTTTGAAGAACTTCATGTATCAACTTTCTTTAGGCTTTATGCTTTTCATGTCTTTTCTAAGAAATCTTTGCCTACTGAAAGACTGAGAAAATAATCTCCTATACTTTTCTGGAAGTTTTATCAATTTAATCTATGTGGTATGAAGTAGGGCTTCAGTCCGCACCCCTCCCCCCCAACACACATGAATGTCTAGTTGTCCCAGCATCATTTGTTGGTGTCCCTGTCTAAAATCACTTGACCCTATCTCAGATGGCCCTTGATAGCTAAGACTAAGTACCACAGGTAAAACTGTGTCTCCTGTAGTCTGTCTTTCCTCAAAGTGAGGTCCTAAGACAAGAAACATCACATCCCCTGGGAGCTTGTTAGAAATGCAGAATCTGGCAGGGCTTCAGCCCTACACAACCCCTAGACGACTCCTAGGCACCTTGCATTTGGAGAAGCCCTGGGGTAGATGTTTGAGTAAGGGGGAATATGTCACCATGGCCTACTCTGCCACTGACAGTGCAGGCTGGGGTGGGGTGGCACGGGCTGTGGACCCATTTCCTCTCCTTTGTTTTTCTTGCTGCTGGGAGAGCGGGGAGGGAACTCACCCCCTCCTCACCCTCTAACACCCACAACCACCTGCTGCTCACCGGGGGCTCCTGCCCTCCCCTCCACGCACAGCCTCCCACCCCTGGGCTCAGTTGCCTCCGCTACAGAGCAGAGACGATAACGGTCTCGACCTCAGGGGTTAACGTGACGCAAAGGGATCTGAGGAGTACCTGGGACGTAGAGACCGCACCATAAAGGTCAGTGATCGTCATGGCCATCGCCGAGCCTGTCCCCCCGGAGGGGCCGCTGCACACAAGCCACCCCCTCACCCCTGCACCAGAGCAGAATTGAGCCTGTGGTCTCGCCAGTCCAACTTCTCCCTCCCCGGCGCCCCCCGGGCAGCGTGCACCATAAATCTCCTCTGGCTCTTTCCATTGTTATAGGGAGTTGCCCTAGCGTCTGACCCGTCCCCCGCCCGGCCTGGGAGTCCCTCAAATCCAGGATCTCTGTCCTTGTCGTCTTTGAACCCCCAGCCCCTGGCACAGTGCCTGGCTTTTGGAGGGCGCTCCACAAATGTTTGCAAAATCTAATTATATGTTAAACAAGCGTCCAGCCCGCAACACGCTGGGGGTGGGTATGTGTGGGCGGTGGGGGCAGCAGGGAAGGCTGGCTGTGTGCCCGGGTAGTGGGGGGACAGAGGCGGAGGGCTCCTCGGGGCTCGGCTGGGAGGACGGTGG